TTTTTAGAGAGAGTGGAAGGAGGTGGGGAAAAGAAAACAAAACCTCTATGTGATAGAGACACATACTAATTGATTGCCTCCCACATGGGCCTTCATTTGGGTCTGGGATCGAACCTGCAACCCAGGTACATTCCCTTGGCCAGAAATCGAGCCCACCACCCTTCAATGTGTGTGGGCTGAAACCCAGTATGCTCACACTGAGTCACACCGCCAGGGCACTGCTTTAAACATTTCAACCAATTCTTTTGGTAGTTGCCTTGATATCTCTGAATAACGTGTCTGTTGCCACTTGTTGATTTTTCCACTGTAGGTGCTGTATATCGATTTCTCTCTGTGGAAGATGACGATTAGCTTTCTTTGATCTTTCCGCCCCCACAAAACACATACACACACACATCCTCCAGCACAGACATATAATCTTTTCGGTTCGATCCCTGGTCCATGATTACATTATTATGACTCTGAAAATGCCATCCAGCTGAGCCGTGAGGTACATAATCATTATTTTTGCACAGCTTTTTATTGCTTTTGAGTTAATACTTATCATTTTACTTGAACTTGGTTGATGTTCTATGTACTTAAAACTAATTCATCTCCAAATGTTCTCTTAGTTATGTAGATTTCCTCAGTATGCTCACACTGAGGCAGCTGTCACACCTGGAGTCCTCTGGCCTCTGTGGCTGGAAGCCTGGCTGCTCTGTAACCCTGCTCCCCCCACTTCACCGCTGCCATTGCCACAGGGGCTGCTGCTCCTCCCCCCCTGTATTCAGATACAATTCATATACCATGCAAGTACCCAATTCAGGGGGTTTCGGTATATTCACAAGATTGTATTAATATAACCATCATCACTCCCAAATTTCAAAACATTTTTATCACCCCCAAAAGAAGTCCTATGGTACTCATTAGCAATCATTCCCCATCCCTTCTTCCCATCCCTGGAAGCCAATATTTTTTCTTTTTAAACATTTTGTATAAACTGGATCATGAAATACAAGGCTTTTTAAATCTGGCTTCTTTCATTTAGTATGAGGTTTTTAAGGTTCATTTGTGTTGTAGCATGTATTAGTACTTCATTCTTTTTCATGGCTGAATACTATTCCATTTGGCTAGCCCCCATTTTCTATATCCATCAGTCACCTGTGATGGCTGTATATGTTGTTTTTACTTTTTGGCGGTTACGAATGATTTTCTCACTCATGTTAGTGTTGGGTCCCCAGTTTCTTGGAATCTCAGATTTCCTGTAACTAGACTTCTTCTCTTTTCAAGTTTTTGAGAGGTTGTATATCTGCAAGTGGGTTGACCTGCTTCTCACGTGGTGTGGAGTGGGCATCCTCCTAGCTCAGAAAGTCTTCCCTGGAGGATGGCAACGTATCACTCGTTGCTTGTCGGCCCACGCCTGCTGTTAAGAAACCCTGTGCTATTTCTCCTTTCTCTCCGCTGCATATTTCCGCTTTCACACTGGGCTCTGTGCCCGCTCTTTGTCCAGGCTGAGACTTCACCGAGAGGCATGAGAGCGCCGTGTGTCCTTCTGCTGGCCGCTCTCAGAGCTCTCCCAGCTCAGCTCTCCTGTCTCCTGGTTCCGGGGGCTTTTCTGGAATTATATCTTTGTTTTCATCCTCTCTGTTATGTCCTCCCCACCCCCACTTTTTATTACTCTTCTCATGTGGTAACTCTTCATTTCATTTCTTGTTTTCCGTTTTGTACCCTTTGGCTGTATTTTCTGGACGTTTTCTTACCTCCTTGTCTTTATGTCTAGTGTTCCTTTTGGCTATCACAGTTTTGCTCTCCGGAAGAGCTTTTTCACTCTCTAATTTTTTTTTTCTCCTTTTAAAATAAATGTCTATTATTGTTTCTCAGCTACACCATCTCCTCTCTCTCTGGGAATATTACAGATAGCTTGCTCTTGAAGTGTACTTCTCCCTAAATTGTGTCTTTCTCCGATGAGTTATTTTTCTCTGGTTATTCTGGTCCCTGTCTTTCCACCTTAGGCGCTCGTCTCAAGTGGAAGGTGATTCTGGCTGGCTGTCAGAGGCAGGTGTGGGGACTGAAACACTGATTTAGAATCTTTCGTCATTTCCTGGGGGGTGATCTGGCTCTGCTCTTTCACAGGAGAGGAACCTGTTCCCAAATTGGTCTCCTCAGGTCTTTCCCCTCCAGTTAGTTAGATTTATAGGAAAATACTTTCTCTTCCTTTACTTACAAGTATAGTTGGCTGCCAGCTATTCTGGGAATGGGAGGCTGGAGAAGGTGGTGGTGGTGGTGGTGGTGGGGGAGAAGGTGGTAGAATCTTGAAATCTGTGTGTTTCATTTATATCCCTGTTTCCATAAGCTACCTTTGCCTTTAACTGGGTCCAAACCTATGGTTTTACCTTTCCTGGAGTGGGAACCCTTAGTCTCAGGTTACATTCCTCTGAGAATGTGCTCCTTCCTGCTCCCAGAAGAACCTGGTGCTAGCGATCGCTCGGTCTATTGCGAGTTTTTCCGTTTTTACCAGAGGGTGTTTGGTGTTGCCCACTCCAACTAAGAAGGACATTTTCTCCATTCCGTCAGGTTACTCACAGGTTATCTACTTGCTGCTTAGCTCCTAAAATTCGATAGTCTTATTTCCTCTCTCATTCTCTTTCTCCTTAAGGGCGAGGCTTTTAGAAAGGACTTTTAAATTGGTATTTTAGTGGAATTCTGAGAAGATGTGAATGTAAGTTAGTGTATCAGTCTGGCAACTTGACCCGGAAGTCCTTTTCAGTTTTTTAAAGCACCTATTTCAGGCTTCAGGTTGTGGTTTGGTCACTCCCTATGGTAGGGGTGGAGCTGTAGTCACCTCCCGGTGGGAACAACTTAGGACTTCATCCTTGTGTGCTCCCTACTGCCACTCAGTGACTTGCCGCCTCTGTGGGCTCTAACCAGCTGAGGTCCCGTGGAGGCTTAGCCAGGGGCTGGGGCGGAGCCACTGGGCAGTTCAGGCTCAGCAACCCCCATTGTTTTTTTTGTTTTTTTAAATATATATTTTATTGACTTTTTATAGAGAGGAAGAGAGAGGGATAGAGAGTTAGAAACATCAATGAGAGAGAAACATCAATCAGCTGCCTCTTGCACACCCCCTACTGGGAATGTGCCCACAACCAAGGTACATGCTCTTGACCGGAATCGAACCCAGGACCTTTCAGTCCGCAGGCCGACACACTATCCACTGAGCCAAACCGGTTTCGGCAGCGAACCCCATTGTTGTCCAGCCTTTGCCCATTTTCACTGTCTCACTCCCTTGGTGTCACTGCCTTTCACCTATCCCCTTGTCTCTCAGATCCCAGTCACTGCAGGGCTGGCCTTAGGTCTCTTTTTTCCTCACGACCACCTCATCACACTGTGTTGGGCTCTCAGGGGCTTCACTCACAGACACCCGGAAGCTAGATCTGCACAGTCATTGCTGGTTTCCGACTTGGACTGGTCCACGTTCTTACTTCCGCCACTGCATCTTTTGTTCTACTTTTATTGTAGTTATCTGGCTCATTCCCAGCTTTCATTTATTTATTCTTCTCTATAGAGTAAACATATATGGGTACATACCTAAAAATAGAAATACCTATTGGTGTCAGCTGTGTTATTTTAATGGAAGTTTTTCTTTTAATTTTTAAATTTTACACAGTAAAGCCCTCCGGGTTGATCCAGGCTGTTCAGTTGGCTGTTTAGAGAGCACAGAGCATGCTGTGTTCAAGAGAATTTACTGAATTACTTTGTTTTGACTTAGTCTGTGCCCAAGTCAAATCCTCCCTTGAATCCTTTGACTGTCTTCCCTGCTTTCAATGTCCAACCTCTGCAAAGGCCTAATTTTAGTCTCTATTGTATCTTACTAATGCCACATAGTATTTTCTTCTTACCCCTCCATCTGTCCTCTGTCTAGTCATCGCACACATCAAATATTTACTGAGAACGTACCACCCCCTACATTACCTTAAGACAGACCCAAGTTTCGCCTCTCCATCATTCAGTCTTCCAGAAACATTGTTCTGTAAACATCGCTGCACATGCATAGCCTTCAGTGCCTATTCATTAAAGCCACAGCTTCTTAACCTGACCTCCATGTCCTTTCCTCTTCTCTCAACCTCACCCACCAGTACCCTGCCGGCTCCTGTGCTCACCTGGGAGCCAGTCCCTCTAAGACAGTGGTCGGCAAACTCATTAGTCAACAGAGCCAAATATTAACAGTACAATGATTGAAATTTCTTTTGTGAGCCAAATTTTTTAAATGTAAATTTCTTCTAATGCCACTTCCTTAAAATAGACTCCCTCAGGCCATGGTATTTTGTGGAAGAGCCACTCTCAAGGGGCCAAAGAGCCGCATGTGGCTCGTGAGCCGCAGTTTGCCCACCATGGCTCTAAGATGTCTATGCATTGCCATTGTGCACTGGGGTTAGAGTTTTTCCAGAAGCTGCTTTGCTTTCATTCTAAGTACAGTTTATCAGTGCCAACTCTTATTAGTTCCACATGCACTCTGACCCCCACTGCCAGTTCACTTGGCTGTAGGCAGGCACAGCCTCAGTGGAAAACTTGTTATTGGAAAAAAAGACATTTGACTAATGTAAAGAATTTAGGTATAGGCTTTTCCATCTTCCAGCCCCTGGGATATGCAACTGTCTCTAGGACAGTTCTTCCATTTTTAAATATGTATTATCATTCACTTTATTACACTGTTCCATTGGGTGGAAATGTTGTAATGTTGAAGTAACTAGTAATTGTGATTCTTTTTCCCTCTTAAAAAGAGATTTCTCCCTGGAGAAGCTATTTGGAAAACATACACACACACACACACACACACACACACACACACACACACACACGTGTGTGTGTGTGTGTGTGTATGCATATATACGTGTGTGCAATATATATATATATATATATATATATATATATATATATATATATCTCCATCCATCCATATCCCCAGGAAGAATAATGTTTGATTATTGTTAAAATATTTATTGAATGTCTCTCTTTCCCTAAAGTGGTACCCAACCTTTGGAATGTCGATGGAGAAGTCACTGTTGCCGAGCAGAGGCCGGGAGAAGTTGCTGAGGATCTAGCGAGCTCCTATGAAAGGAAGCTCATCGAGGTAAGGCTTGGAGTCTGTGCCTTTATTGCTGATGCTGACTGCCGTGGGACTTCCCAGGCATAGGCCCAGCCTGCTACACAGATTTTAGCAGAACAGTCACAGCATTGCACTTGGTAAAGGCAGGTAAGAGCTGGTTCTTTGAAACATATTATTTACTTGAAAATGTGGTACTTTTGGCCAGGAAATAAGAGAGAAGACATAAATATGTAATGTTAAAAATAAGAAAATATATCTACCCTGAGTTTGGAGAAGATTAAAAACAGGAGAGAATGTCACATACAACTTTGGGCTGATAAATGTGAAAATATGGACTATTTTATTTTCTAAGATAACATTTCTAAGATAACAAAATTTATTGACGATGAGGCAAATTGCTGAAGGGTACCAAAAAACTGGTGTAAGAAAGTTATAAAAGTAATTAAACAACTGTTTCCCTGGAAGGTAGCAAGCCTGGGTGGTTTTATGGTGGTTTCTAGGAAGCCCTCTAAGTCTGCCAAAAAGCCCTTTGCTATTTATATTTCCTTAAGGCGTAATCTATAGGTCTATAAATCATATCTCTGTATCTTGGTTCAAGTGTGCTTTACTTTGATATAAAAATCCTACAAAGATAGTCTAAGAAATCTATAGACCTATAAATCATATCTCTGTATCTTGGTTCAAGTGTGCTTTACTTTGATATAAAAATCCTACAAAGATAGTCTAAGAAACAATACTGTAGACTCACCTCATTTGTACACAAATGCATAAAAATTCTAGAAATATATTACCCAATCAAATTCAGTCACACATTAAAGGAACAATCCATATGAAAGTAGGATTTATATAGGATTCCAAGGATGGCTTAGTATGTTAGGAAATTCATCAGGTCGGCTCATTTGATAGGTCAAAAGAAAAAAAGCAGATATTGATCTTGATGGGTGCTGAAAAGCCATTTGATAATATTGATTGTTGATATCTGATAAAAATATTCTTTATAAATAAAGATTAAAGATACTTGATATGATAAAGTTGTTTATTTTAAAAAATCAGAGACCATTAATTATCCCCATATTCAGTGGGAAAGCTGGGAGGCTAGTTTCTGTTTACATAACTGGTATATGAAATATACAGAGGTGTGTGTATATGGTGGTCACGTGGTTGTGTTTATTACAAGTCACTTATTTTTGCATGTGTACACACATCTGAGAATATAGTCGTATCTTCCAGTTACTGTCAGATCCACTTGCATGTGGTTCCTGTTAGCTGCCAGAGAGTGAAATGCTGAATTCCACTGCAGAAGGAGCAGTGGGTGGGTGTAGAGCAAGCGTGTCAAACTCAGGAGGCATGTGGCCCGTGGGCCTCAAGTTTGACATTCTTGGTGTAGAGATTTCTGTGTTTCTGTGACTCCCTAATGCCAGGAGCAGTAGAGTTGATGATTATCATTAATGAGCTGAGATGTTGAGGCTGAAGCACAGCTGTTCCTTTAGTGGAATATACTATTCCAGATTGATTTTTCTTTATTTTGGTTGCAAAGTGCGGTTCTGTCAGTGATCTTTCACGTATGAATATTAGCATTTCATTGCAACAAGACTTTTGTGGGACCCTCTCTGTTAGTATTAATTGAGCTCTTTATAGTGTTTTGTGTGATGCTTGTCTTGTCATTCTATTAATGAGTCGGCTTTTGCCAAAAAAGGGTTGTAAACACGTGTTGGAGTGGAGTGATGAAAGAGTGTGGGAGAGAAGTTGATGTAATTCTCTTTCCATTTCAGAAGAAGAAACATCTCAATGTAAATAGCATGACTATTTGAAGTACCACAACCTTTTAATTACTCTTTTGTGATTCATCCCAATCAAAAGGCAGTTCCTGAACATTCTTTTCTAGGTGTCTCTCAAAGCATTAAAACCACCTTACTCACCTGGCCAGCATGGCTCAGTGGTTGAATATTGACCTAGGAGGTCACAGTTCTATTCTTGGTCAGGACATATGCTTGATCCCCAGTGTGGTGCTTGTAGGAGGTGGCCAATCAATGATTCTCTCTCATTGTTCCCCTCTCCCTCTCCCTCTCCCAAATCAATAAAAAATATATTTAAAAAACTTTACCTCACCCATTTGCACACAAGCCCTGAACACTACACATTCATGCTCAGTGACCAGGCGTCTCGCATCCGGTCAGCTCAGAGCCCAAAGTCAACATGAAGCTGGTGTGTGTGTGTGTGTGTGTGTGTGTGTGTGTGTGTGTGTGTGTCAGGAGCCAAGGAATGGAGGTAGAAAGATTGTTCTTGACACCCTGTGATGGTTAACTTTTGGAAACAAGTAGCAGGGTAGGTTAATCTGGCAGGGGAGAAACATTAGTATAAACACACTAATTATAAACCAGCTACTGTAGTGCCAGTGGCCAGCTGTGGGGTGCACACTTTTATTTCCAGGCACCATGCTAAGGCTTTTACAGAGATGGACTGCTGCTTCCTGAGAGTAAGATACTGCTCACAGATAGCATTTTGAGAAGTTAAGTAACCTGCCCCAGAGTTTCCAGCTGGTCAGAAGCAAAGCTGGATTCAAATCAGCCAGGCCATCCAGCACTGGAGCCCAGACTCATAACCCTGTTATGCTCCGGAAGTGAGCTCATCGAGGAACCGAAAGATAGACTGGACAGCAGAGAAGGCTTATCACCGTTAAGAGAATGGAAGGAGCCAAAACCAGTTTGGCTCAGTGGAGAGAGTGTCAGTCTGTGGACTGGAAGGTTCCAGGTTCGATTCCGGTCAAGGGCATGTATATTGGTTGTGGGCACATCCCCAGTAGGGGGTGTGCAGGAGGCAGCTGGTTGATGTTTCTCTCTCATTGACATTTCTAGCTCTCTATCCTTCTCCCTTCCTCTCTGTGGAAAATCAATAAAATATATTTAAGAGAGAGAGAGAGAGAGAGAGAGAGAGAGAGAGAGAGAGAGAGAGAGAGAGGAGAGAGAGAATATGAATGGGAGGAGCCGAGGGGAAAGCCAGCCTTGATAACAGCTTTGAAACGGCTGGGCCCCTCATACCCTTAGTTATTACAGAAGAAGGGAATGGAGATGTCTCATATTGTTGGAATTACCTGCTTCTGAAGCAAATTGTGGTAGAACACTAGCTGGGAGCTCCTTGGTGACTGGGAGCATTATCTTTTTAATTGCATATTCATTGACTGACACAGCTCCTGCATATGGTGGGAGCCCCATAAATATTGAAGGGAGTGGCAGTTTATTGAATGGATTCAGCTGTTCAGAGTAATGGTTGAAGAGTGACAGGTCTGACTCTGGAACCCCAGATTGAAAGTGAGTTGTGCTATGGCCTTACAAGGACTCGGAGCATCCTGGTGGGAGGGACAGGTATCTAATAGGAGGAAACATAGTTCTTTAGAGGAGGCAGACCTTTCCTGGCTCTCAGTGTTAGGGGAAAGTTTAGTTTGCAGAGTCTGGAGATGACATTGAGTAACAGACAGACGGATGCTACCGGCTCATTTAGCACGTAGTTATTTATTACCTTCCAGGTGCCCAGCCTTTAGCTTCCTTTCTCCACCTGCAGTGGCTTTCTGTCCTGGGAGATGGTTCTGGGGAATGAGCCACAAAATGTGTGAGGTCATAGGAGATGCCCCTCAAATGGCATTTACCTCCCTAGATGGAGTTCTTTCTTTGACTGCAAAGGCATTGATGGTTCATCTATGAATAGCGTTTGCTCTTTGTTACCCAAGTCTGGTCCTGGGTCATAAGGATGAACCACACACCATACCTGTCTTCAGGGAGCTCCCAGCTCTCAGGGGTTAAGTAGATGTGTCTGCCATGATCCTCAGGAAGCAGGGTGAGGTGCAGACACCTCCTTGGGTCCTAGCGCCATGTCTGTAACAGCAGTTCTGCAGAGCTAGTGCACTTCGCTGGAGCTTCTAGAATGTTCCTCCCTTTTTCTTTGGGATTGTTAGTAATGATACTTGGAATTTCCTTTGTAAAGTTCTCCTCCCTCTTGTAGCTCTAGGCATCAGAGAAAATGGATTTGTTGGTACTGTGGGTTTTGAAGATAAAAGTTATTGGGCACTTCAGGATAGATCTGTTCTAAGATTTCCTTTACCTTTTGAAGCACAGTTCCTTTGGTTTAGACTCATCTCCAGAGATTTTCTATTCTTTCCTAGCAGTGGTGGTCAAGAAGAATGTAAAATGTGGGCAGCCTTTTGCCTGCCATCCTGCATCTCTTTGCTGCCGCCTTCTGCAGCTGGGTGGCTTAGAGGGCACACGATACCCTGCATCAGGCAGACCAAGCTCAGTTCATCACTTACTGCCTCGTGTTCCTGGGCAGGCCACGTGACCTCTCTATGCCTCAGTTTTCCCATCAGTAAAAGGTAGCCAATAGTACAAACTCGTAGGGTGGCTGTGAGAATTAAGTAGAGAGCACCTGGCTCAGCACTTGTGGTAGACAGGAGGTGCCTCGTACCTTCCTGCCTCCCTTCTGATCTCCTTGGGAGGAAGGCCTTCCCCACATTGCTTGCTCTCTTGGTGAAGGAGTGAATCTGAGGCCCCTGCCCTCCTTTGGCCCAGGGCTGACCGTGTGACCTGTGCCGGGGACTTCTATAAGAAAAGCAGAAATGCGTGGGAGCCTCCTGGGCTCAGCCGGTTCCTGTGCTGAACCTGCCGGAGATGCTCAGGATGCAGTCCTTCTCTGTGCCCGATGCTTCCACTTTCCTGACTGGCACAGCAGTTCCTTTTTAGCTTAGGAGAGAAGTATGTGTGTTACCTCCAAAGCCCCTGGCTCATCTGTGGCTCGGACATGCGTGTGATGGGTAGATGTCATTTCCCTCATTCCCTTTCCACCCTTGCTTACCAGGGCTGCTTTGTCCTGCCTTCTTCATTGCCATCCTCCCATGCCACCCCCTTACCCCCCAATCCATCCTGCTTTGCCCCTGCTGTGTGCTCACCTTGGGCCTCTCTTCCATGCAGCCAGTCCATCCTCTGCAGACAGATCTTGACTTTCTCCCAGGTGGTGGGACTCAGCTAATTTGTTGA